TTCCGAAGTTGAAACAAAATATATTACACGCATAGCCCGGGGTTCTCCGGAATATTGAATTTCCGGAATTTGGTGATTGTCAAACAAAGCCGCCTATTCATAAAGTCTATTGAGAAATTTTTCTGGCCTTCTCAAAATTTCGCAGTTTGTTTTTTGCTAAATAGAACATGTAGACACACTGGTGGGATTCAGAGGATGAATGAACACAAACCCACGCGAACGGGTTCTTTGGGATATTGTGATTCTGGCGAACCCGTTCTTAAAATGCCGTGATATTGGCGAACCCGTTCTTAGAATGTCGTGATATAGGCGAAACCGTTTTTAAAATATTGTAAGATTATCGAACCCGTTCTTAAAATGCCGTGAAAATAGCGACCCCGTTCTTAGAATGTCGTGATATTGGTGGATCCGTTTTCAAAATAACGTAAGATTATTGAACCCGTTCTAAGGATGTCGCGATATTGGCGAACCCGTTCTCAGAATGTCGTGATATTGGCGAATCCGTTCTCAAAATATCGTAAGACTATCGAACCCGTTCAAAGAATGTCGCGATATTGGCGAACCCGTTCTTGGAATGTCCTCCCCTATTATTGACGGTTTCGACATAGTTTTCTGAAACGATAGAACCTGTTGTTGGTAATTTTAATATAAATAGAGCCCATATTTTTAAATTTCGAGTCCCAATCACTGAGTAAGCACACTCTTCCAAACGTGATAAACTATATTTTACTCTATTTAACCTTTGAACCTTTCTTTTACTTCCTGAATTGCAAAAAAATGAATCACACGATTCAAAATGAAATGGTATCTCAATGATTTACCTTTTTCTATTTTTGTTTACTGATCTTCCGCAAAGAATATGTTATTCTATTTAAACGCGTTTGGGATTTCGCGTTTAGTGCATAAATTCTCTATCTGTATTTCTTACTTTTTCGGGAAGAAAGTTCTTTTTGTCTTTTTATCTCAGTGTCAGAAAATTGTGCATTGCAAATAGGTGAATCACACGCATTTTCGAGATGTAATTGTATATTTCCATGTTTGTATATTCTTGACCGACCTGGGTGGCAGCAATACGATATAATTGATCCACATTGTCGATGTGGTTCTTCCCGGATGTTAGGTTTAAGCACACTATTTGAACTGTTTCCGAAATGTATAGACACACACAAACTAGTCGAAATTGCAATCCGAGTGCGATTGCCACAAGACAATTTTTATTAGATTTACCATTTTTTCAATTTGATAAAGTTTTCGGAAAAGCAGCAGCCGATATAAGAATTCAATATACTTTGAATAAAAAATAGCCAAATAGCACATAGTGTACACGATTTGTTATGTCTGCGGTTGCACCCCAACACGGCTGGGTTAGTTTGGGGTTTAGAACGCAAACCAGTAGGCGAAGAAGCATCGGATAAAAAGTTCATGTATACATTTTGAACCGTGCGCATCGTGTTTATGGGAGCAGTGGCTTTGTCATGGCATTGTACATAATTGGGATGATGTTGAACATTTCGATTTCAAACTTCATGCCACAATGTCTAAGGTGTGCTAAATATGGGTGATGTGAAATGGAGCAGTTACTAATTAAATAACTAAAGCAAAACGAAAAAGTTTGGCGTTCCGCGCTAGACAGTATTTTATTCGAAAAACATTAAAATTTGGACTTTATTTTTCTATCACATAAGCAGTTACGGCATTTATTTCACATCACATTTGTTTGGCCTGTTACGGCGTTTACTTCACTAGACCCGGTTAGTAAATAAATACCGGATCTGTCAGATTACGGTTCACTAAAAAATAGCTGCCACTAACGTATGCAGTAACCGCTGGCTTTTTTTTTTAAATTCAAATTCTCGCTTGACCTGTGTGACAGCAATATGATGTTACTGATGTACATTGTCAATGTGGTTCTTTCCGGATGTTGAGTTTAAGCAAACTATTTGAACTGTTTCCGAAATGTATACACACAAACTCGCTGTAGTTGTAATCCGATAGCGGATGCCAAAAGATATTTTTTTTATTAAATTTACCTTTTTCTCACTTCAAAAAAATATTTGGAAAATTAGCCACCAATATAAGAGTATACCATACATATAATGAGGAATCTTTTTCTTCCAGAATGCCCAAAAGCAGTGTCTTTTCAGCTGAACTAGTTTGTTTTTTGTTATTTTCATTGTCTGGTTAATTGTTTTATGATACGTGATCATGTCACGTGAGTATATCCAGTGGTCGGATTAATTTTTTTTGTCAGACGGTTCCACCACAAAAGTCAGATTTTTCATCCGGTTCTGTTACAAAGAGTTATCAACCGTAACCCGTAATGCTAACCGGTTCGCTGATCTCATGAAATTCCGTGAGATGGTTCTATAGAACCGGTGCGAACCGACTGAACCCCACCACTGAGTATATCCACGGCGGTACTGAAAAGCGGGATACGAAAGACACCGAGTATACTTGAATTTAATTTCCAAAATGGGTCTAAACTTATTGTGCGCAGCGTGTAGATTTGTTTTTGATTCAAACGAATTATGGAACTATTTCATATTTCAGCGGTAAATTTTATCACGTCATTGACCCGTGTCAAGAATTTGCAGGATTAGAATTCCAATGCCCTGATTTCTTAGTTATTAATTTGCAGCATTAGCATTTCTATGCCCTGATTTTTTTGCGCTAAGTGAATTCTGCGAACACCCTGACCAAATTTTAGCGGGCGTCATCAAGTTTTTCATACAAATTGCTGCAAAGTACATACTCTGCATGCTTTATAATTTTTTTCAAATCTGACATGAATAATTTAATTTCTTTCACAAATGGGTCGACTGACGAATGAGCATCTCAAATCACAAAATGCACTTTTCACAAATGATCTATTTTTGTGCAATAAATTCCGTTGCGCTGAATATAATCAAGTGTTCCATGAGTGCAATGATAGATTACTAGAGTTAACTATGTTGTACAAGTTTTCATAAAGCAAGACCCCGAGTCCTCAACAAAAAGGTGGTAACGGCGCTGATAAAAGACTATTGTCTTACTAATAGCCCTAAATAAGTTTCGTGGTAAAAAATTTGAAGCTATTGGTCCTGATACAAATTACAGCTTTTTTCGTTTAGTGATATCCAACTGTCTCTGGAACTATTTATAGTTTTACTCTCATAGTTCTTAAATTCTTTCTGGATTTTCCGGGCATAATAGATTTTTGGTGTTGACAAAATATTAGACTGCTCGTCAATATAACTTTTAAGTTTGCATATTCGAGCAATGCTCTACTTTTGCATAATAGCTTTCACCTTTAAATATCTTTAGGTTGTATTCGTAAACAATCACATATGTCCCACATTTACTTATACGTAAGTCTTTCGGAAATTGGAATGTGTCCAAAACTAGACGATAAAATTGCGGGTCAAAATGACCAAATTATAGATGATCATTTTTCAACAAAAATTGAGGGCAATTTGGTAAATAATTTCTATTTCTGAGAAATCTGAAACTTTTCAATCGTTTCATGTTTTCTCAAGTGAAGGTCATGACGTGAACATGTGAAGTTTTATTTTTGAAATTTTGAAATCTGATATTTTTGATAAGTTTTGTTGCAATTTTAAAGGTTATGTGGAATTGAAGGTCATATATAAATTATAAACGTCATATATGTGTTACAATTTTGAAATATTGGAATTCAGAAGGTGCTAGAGTATTGTGTATTAAACCGAAAGTCCATTTACCTTGTCTACTTCATATATCGGCATGTGCCACAATATTATTTGAACGATATAATAATATAAAAATAAATATAAATGAATTGATGTCTTTTCGTGAACTAGCAAGTATATTTGTGAGTTTTCGTTGAATCATAGTCACTACTCCAGACATAGCGAAGTATATGCCAGCAGAAGCGTGGAAATAGATCATAATATTCTCATTTTTTTCTACCATGTTACTATTGCAATTTCTTTTCACTGCTGTAAGCACTATTTTCTTTATTCTAAAATAGGAACAACGTATTCGTAATGTAGGTTATTTAAGGTACTAAACAACACTTCAGGATTTGCACTGAACTTCACACAGGGTGTGCCAAAAAAGTGTTACCATAATTTACATTTTGAATGTAAGTGGTATGCCATTTGTTTAAGCCGTCTAATCCGCTTGTATGTCTACGAGATAAATATGGCAATTCTGTCCGTGGTAAAGGCAGAACTTTCCTAAGCCGCCGATTATAAGTAACACTATCCTGTTATCGTAGAAAAATCAATTGCACTTGTATAGATGATTGATAGTTTATGGCAGGGATGTGCAACCTGCGGCCCGCGGGTAAATTACGGCCCTCGAAAAAACCTGTGCGGCCCGCGGAAGACGTGCCAATCATTAATGATGGGCGGCCGGCAAAACGAGTTTTCGATTTAATTTGGTACGTCGCGTAATTCTAATCCCTTTACGTTGCAAAGCCTCTATTGCAAAGTTCAATTTATTATCTATGTCAGTGCAAACAACTCATGCCTCAACATAAATACCCAAAATTTTTGTGGCCACAACTACTAGATAGCCTATGTTAAATAAAGGTGCGGCCCGCGGTTTAACCCAGTTATTTCTATCTGGTCCTTCTGTTTTAAAGTTTGCTGCACACACTTGGTTTATGACAAATAAAATCTGCATACCGATTTATGCTCTGTTCAATCCTAAAAGTCTTTGCCAAGAGTTCCTCGATTTTAAATTTTGCATATAACGAGCGATAATGAAGTACAAAATGAAATCAATATCAAAACATGTAAGTTTTGGAAACCTGTGTATTAAACAAACAATAGGGGTCGATAATACGGCTAAGCCATATGACGTACCACGGCCTCCCGACCGGTGAAAAGTCTATGTCAGGTACGGGTGATTTCATGTATAAATCCTTGTTCGAGTAGATGATGAAGTACTTCTAGTACTGAATGTTCTACGCCATTTATCGTTAGCGCTATATTGCTCAAATCTTAGATCGGTAAAGCGATATTTTTATTCTACAGAAAAGCTCAGAAAAGCCGGAAGCGGAAGTTGAAAAATCAACCCTTGACCTCCGTGAGACATTGTCTATGACATCATTATCTTCTTCTGTAAGATCATCAGTGTCATCAACTGCATCGTCAACCTATGATAACCGAGTGTCTACCAGTAGCTTTGATGACGAACAGCATCAATTTATGACGTCATTCGGGTCAAAGGTCACAATAAACTTGGAAGACGACAAAATGGATAAAAAATCCATTCGGAAAAAGAAAAAAGAGAAAAAAGAATTAAATAATAATTTAAATAAGAAAGAAAATGAAATGCAAACTCGTCTGAACTGGTGCGATTGCATAGTGGTTGTTTACAGTATCTGTGACTCGGACTCCTTCGATTCAGCTAGAGACATTATTAGATATATCCGGGGACAATATGTACGTGGACATGCTGTATCCGAATTTGAATCCGGAGTCCGTCGTAACTCCGGTTCAGATCCTGTGGCAGATCCGGTTACCCGATTGATGCAAATTCCGATTTTGTTAGTCGGTAACAAAGCTGATTTAGAGCACAGAAGGTGCGTCGAAATGAATGCAGCCACTGAGTTTTCACTGGGCTATGGGTGCAGTGCCGTGGAGCTGTCAGCCCCTGAGGGGTTCGAATCCATATCTAAGGTGTTTAACGGTATTATTGAAAATATTCGAAGAGACAAACTTCCTTCTAAATTAACAAAAATTAAGTCAATAGTACGTGGCTTTGGGCATCGCAGAAATATGTCTATGTAAATTTTAAATCAATATTGGGAAAAAGACTTCTGTTGTTGAAAATAAAATTATCTTTTTCTTTAACTACAAGACCACTAGTTTTGAAATATTGTCTTGCCGCCGATCAGGCTGTTACTTTTTCCCAATTCTTCTTTATTTCATTTTTTAATTTGTCAATTCGATTTTTTTTCTCACTTAAAAAATGCAATCTTACCTGAAAAGTAGGGTTTCTGTGAAGAAGTTTAATCACACCCTCAATCTGTTTGGGTATAACTTGTTTCGTTTCGTTTTTGTATTTACCATGTCCCATAAAATTACAAAAATTACCGTTGTTAACGCGCGAGGGCTATTTGGCTATCCGACGCTTATATTAGTATTTTTACACCAGGTGTGTTATCAGGCGGCCCGGGGGGCTGAATTAGGCATGCCAAGCCATTAAATGGGGTCCTCGTCAACTCTTCGATTTTTTTCCATCAAGCATAAAATCTTAATCCGACAGTTTGCTTGAAAAACCACTCATATGGATAAAAAGTTTATGTTTTTTTCCCTGGTCGCTGCCTTAAATCTTTTGCTGTTTTGCCCGGTGCTTATATTACTGTAAGTAAGCAATAGCTGAATTCTTTACTCTTGTCTTTCCCGCTAAATTTTTTGTGAGCTCACCTACATGTCTGAATTTGGATTTAATGTCCATCGACAAAAATGCTGCTCACCCCTGGTTTATACAATTAGCCACATAGTATTAGTATTTGCTTGTCCAGAGAATTGTTCAAAAATAAAGTGTTAAAATAATTTGAGACTAATCTTTAAAAGGAATTAAATACAATCTTAACGATTCAAAGCTAAATAAAAGCAACCCGTTAGCTTCTGAAAAGTGAAATTCCATCTATCTTATTATCTTGTGCTAATGATTTGGTTTCTGCGAGACTAAATAATTATACTTCTTCTATGCTATGGCAGATCCGTATATTATTCCTGAGCTTTCTATGAAAACTTCACAATAAAGGGAGTTTAGTATCAGGCATTTCAATTTTTTGAACAAAACACCGAAAAATCAATTGCGTATATATATAGTCCACTTGTGCCCAAAAATAAATGGGGACCCACGAAAAAACAAAAATTTCTTAATTACTTTAAATGACTTATTCAACACTCGAACTTCTGTTAGTGTATGAATTCACCAAATTTTATTAATCTAGGTTATGAGATTATGCTCTCTTTAAAATATGTTCTAAATTACCTGGGATCTATTTTTTGACTCACCTTGCAAATTGTTTTCAATTTTAAAATTGATTCAGCACTTGAACTTCTGTTTGTGTATGTATATACCAAAAATTTTAGTAATCGTTTTGTATGATGCTATCATTGCTCTAATGACAGAAGTCCAATAAAAACGAGAAATGTGATTAAACAGATTTAATAAACGATATTAGTATACTTTGATAACATTGCCACATTTTCCTATTTTGCGAAGAAATCGATTCCCCGTTGATTTATTTCCTTATATATGTTCTTATCTATTTCGTTGCGTGGTTGCTAATGCGCGCCGCTTTTCAACTTCCTTTTTCTGAAGTTCCACAGAGCTTTATAACATATTATTATTATATGATTTTACAGTTTGCATTTTTTATTTGTGATGCAATATAATTGTGAGTGTAACAGCTTGTTCAATAAATGCTTGACAATCATTTGGATCATCTCTATTTTGTGAATTTGGGAGATTTTTCTGGAGATCTTTTGGAGATTTTTCTGAGTATTTAAAGTCGATTAAAAGACTTAATCTGGTAAAAGTTAGCTTTTGAACTAAAATTTTATCGCGCAGAAAATGAACTGGAAATTAGAAAATGTCATTTTCTGCTTGGAAGCGATAGTTTACTTGTGGGATAAGTCCGGCCGGTTAAAAACATTCAAACACAATGGTGAGGTATTATAAACCCTTTCTGGGAGAATGCAGTTGAATCAGTTTACATTGAAAGCATTACGGAGAAAAAAAGACAAAAGCTTAAAATGAACGTTGAAAAATAACGTGTATACTCTGGAAATCTCGTTGAATGTTTGAAAATATGGGGACAGGTTGTAGGATATTTCTGAACATGATGTATTGTTACACATCCTGTGATTCCGACAGAGGACTATATTTCATAAATGGCATTTGTTATCGCAAGATTAGAGTCGTTTTAAGGCGACCTTCACCACTCATCTCCTAATGGCTGCGCCCCCGTGGATAGTTAATAAACGGACTAGGTAATAAATTTTAAAATATAGTTATTTTGATGAATACTTCCAAGGAGATTAATTTTAAAGATTTCCAAAATCATCCAATGTAGTGGAAACGAGTGTCCTAATCATTGTTCAAAGCTAACACCGGTCCCAACGTATTGTAATCCTATATGTTAGTAAAATGTAGACGGGCACCACTGCTTGACCAATCAGAGTAAAACGAGAGATAAAAACTTCCTTTTTCTGACTAACTCTCGAATTTGAATTCTCTCGTTTTCATTTTTTTTTTCTGAGCTCGCTGACCAAACTTTCTCTCTCATTTTAAGACAAAAATATCTGACAGTTTATGAAAGTTAATTCACTTCAATTTCATGAAAACATTGTTTACCAATTTTATTTTTATAAGAACTAAATCTGAACAAGTTTTTACTTAAGCAGCTAATTTGTATATAAATGACGTGCCTTCATAAAATCAGAAACCGAGTTTATTTAGGAATGCGCAACAGCAATTTCATCATTCTCTCGAGGGACACGGGCCTCCGATTGGGACTAGTGTGATCAATCGTAAATGCATGACTTGCAGAGAGTAGTTGGGTAATCCTTATTGAAGATTATATAAAAGTATATATATATAAACATTGAACAATTTCAATTTTCTTTAACATTATCAAATTGCGTAACTTTGGTTTCAGAAAAATGCTACGTCATTGCTTTACGTAAACTTTGTCAATATGCTGATTTTGATAAAAAAAAATTACTTTTGATCGTGAGTATGGAAAAACCAAAAGCTTGTTCGACTCGATTATTCTTGCGGCATTGAAGTCACATGAGTACACTATAATGCCTACTCATCGTTGTTTTGTTACGGAACAATCACGTGAAACGTCATAGTTTACAATAATAGGACACGAACATGTAATTGTGGAAAAAATGCACATGTGGGGAAAGTAACACCCCCAGGCACATCTGATAGATAAAAAAATAAAAATGTTCAAATGCATTCATACAAGAGGAAGGCCGGTAAAATGACATAATTATATTGTGAATCATGGCCAATCGCCTGATACTAGCCAATGTATGGTGTGATAATAGTTATCCAGTTAGATGCTCGATCGATTCAATTTGATGTAGGTGTGAATTATGACGTAATAAAATTCCGCATCTTCAATGCATAAAATTGCATTAATTTCACGCATGACTGTGTCATAATTGATTGGTTTTCCGCTAATTTTAAAACCAACTTCTTTATAGTTGCAATATAGATGCAAAGCCCAAACCACTGCGCCATTGCACCCTTGAAGTGGTATCGTACGACATTTTCCACTTTTGAAGAAATCGTTTTGCTATATTTCTGTCATTTCCCGCTTAACGTCAAATACATTTTACATTTTTTTTTTTGTATTTTTCAGAGGTTCATACAAGCCTGCTTCGCAAATATCCAGCGCGACATTAATCCGACCATGAATAACATCGCGTATACAATATCAGTAAAAATATTAAAAAAAAAAAGGTATTACGAAGCAAAATCTACATACTTTTCTTCCTAAATTGATTTTAAATTGCATTCATTTTACGCTTGATAGCGTTATGATTTATTCATTAAAACATTCTTCACGCGCAATTGTTGCAAAAACATTTTTGTAGGTGCGGTGTACTGGTTTCCATATTTTGCTATGTTTGACTAGAAATTAATTTTCAAGTAGAGAAAATGATAGAAGACTAAGAATTAGCTTCAAAAAAAAGTTGTTCACTTTACGCCTGATAACGCTGTCATTTATTCATTGGAACATTCTCTTGTACTTGCGGTGGACAATTTTACCCACGTAAATACCGGTTTCTCAAAATATGCTATGTCTTTCTAGACAATATTTTTCACGTAGAGAAAGGGATAAAGACTAAGGAACAGAATAAAAAAAAGTTATTTATTTTACGCTTGATATCGTTGTGATGTATTTAATAAAACATTATTTACGCGCAATTTTTCTCACAAGTTTCAGAAATCTAGGACAACCGATTTTGTAATTTTGTAATAACGAATTTTATCATTTTTTTTCTATAAGATATTGCAAAGAATCTTAGATATGTAAATTATGCTCTCGGACAACAAAAATCCCCAAGTTTTTGAATTACAATTGCACGATAGCAATTGTTTCTACACACCCCCGCAGTAAACCATTTTTCATTTCTCTTACATTTTTGCACCTTATTAAATTTAGAGTAGTTTGGGGTGATTTTTTAAAGTAATTTCAACAATACCGTGATCGACCGGTTCTTTCTCTGCAATCTTGCGAAATGTAATTTTCTAATTCATGTGAATTTTCCATGCGCATTTTAACAAATCAATCAATTTAGGCATTATATGGATTATATGCAGCCCCTCTCTCCCGCCTCAAAGTATCCAACTGAGGACTCATCCCTAGTTCACTGATATGAATTAGACCCTCTGATCATACGAAGATGTCATAGTGATATCAAGTCATTGTTTAAGTATTATCCTTTCATCGAGGCTTCATCATATGAAGAGCCATCTAAAAGTAGGTTTGGTGCAGTATCTTTATATGGTCCTAATTTTGTGGGATTTTTTGGCAATTTTTTGAGTCGCTCTAAACAATGTTCACGAATAAAAAAATCATTATCCTTTTTTTGAGTAATATTACTTTTATCGAACGTTCGTTTCTCAACAACTTCACAAAATGTATCTTTGTGATTCGCGGTACCAACTCTAGGTCTTTTATGTATCACTTGTGGTCTCTAATTTTCTCAGCAAACAACTTTCTCGAGACTTTTGCCATTTTCGTAAGGAGGTTGTCACGAAAGCATAATTTGTAAAATGCTATGTAATCCTCGCTAAGTAGTAAGCGACATCGCAAACTTGCGCAAGAAATGTCAATTCTTTGCAATTTTTCAGACGAAATTCCCCAACATGTGTCTCTGCAAACATAATGACAAAATTACACCCCTATATTCTGCATTAATCGATCGAATCCTACGTAAATGTGAAGCAATTTTGTAGATATATTCTCCGATAAAATAAATGATTGTTTGTATCTTAAACGTTTAGCGATTGATGTCCCGCACATTTTGAGCAGCATCAAAATCAAAGCGTCTTTTCTTGCTTTTCCTTGACACAATTGCGTTGGCGTTTAACAATAATTTCACAAAGTATGGACCCACATAATGAATGGGTAGTGACACAATAGCTACGCTTTTTTCTGAACTGTAATTCGTACAATTTGATTGGCGCTGAATTTACCATAGAAAATACATTCTGCACGTAACTTTGTGTGTTGGACGTGGACGGGGACGAAGGATGAAGTAAATGAAATATGTGTTGAAGAAAAAATTTCACACAGAAGTTTGTTTCAATGATTGTTACTGTATTTGTACTTTTGCTTTCATCCAAAATAAAGCGCCCAGTCTGTTTGATATGACATTGTATATTTATTTTTTTCAACGATAGATCTAAATATAGATGTTTATCAGATTGATATCTTGCCTTTTTCAAGACTATCAGAAAGATGCTAAGAATCTTTTGTACAAAGCCGCGCTCAAAAAAAGAAAATCAGGAATTATTCACCTAGGGTTAGGGTTAGAAACGCAGAGTGCGCCGGGAATTCAAACTTTTAGGTCACCTAACCGTAACCCTAACCCCAACTGAATAATTACTTGTTATTTTAAAACGTGGCAGAGGTGTGTTTTCCTCAAATTTCTCATTTTTGTATTAGTGGCGGGGGACAAAAGAACCGATGATAATACCACACAGGTAATTTTATACACTCGCAATATTTATACGCAACATTGCATACGTTAACCAAACCAAAATTATGGGAATGCGTATTAAGAAGAACGCTTTCCTTTAGTCCTGTTCATAATGTTGATGTAAGAAACAATGGTAAAAAAAAATTCATTTCATTTCACACGCACAAATTTGTCAACCGGGCCAAAATTAACCAAATCAATATTATAAGAATGCTTAACGCTCAAAGAGCGTTTTCCTTCAATCTTGTTTATATTTTAGACGTAAGGGAACATTGATAAAACAAAAATGTATTCCACTCGCCAAAATTAGTCAACAACAAAATGGAACCGGATAAACCTGGCATTTCCCCAATGTGGAGAGTCGCTAGGAATGTTTAATTTACGTCTCGAGTTTTTTCTACGTCATCTATTTATACATATAAGTACTCTCATCATTATTTAGAAAAAACTTTCAAAATTGATTCGCATGTTTTTGTTTCTCAACGTGAGCGCCTCTTTTCAAACATAAACTGAAGAATTATAATTTTATGCATGCTGGGGAAAATGTGAATGCTGAAAAGGGCCAAAAAAAAAAATAGATTGGTGAGTCGGGTTATGGTCCGCGTGTCGCCTGTTGCATACCCCTGCTTATAAATTAAGTTTTTAGACTTTTTGCTCTTGGCAAAATTGTATAACACTTAGTGCTTGTCTAGAAATTTGTTTA